TTATGCATGAAAAACATGATAATATGAATGATAAAGTGGTAGAGTGACTCACGCTGCTGTCTTGTGTTTCTGGTGAATCCAATCAAACTTGAAGTAAATATCTGGTTTGATCAGCACCGTCTGCCATGTGTCAAAATACTTCTGAATCTTCAGCAGAAGTTCTTTCTCTGGACACAGGGTATCAAGAACATAACATGGTAGTGAGTAAGATAAATTCACTGTTTCTTAACTGACCCAAGATTATTTTACAACTTGGATGATGACTCAAATTAAGTAAGAAATGTATGCATGCCTACTCACCACTCACAGGTACACCCAGGAAGAGTCTGTTGGAGATGTCGACCACAGTGCAGCGCAGCAAACTGAGGACATCCACTTGATCCAAACTGTCCAAGCCGTCTAAGTGAGTCTGTGTGGAGGAGACGCAAACCTCCACTGTCTGCTGCAAGCTCGGACCTGTCAGGGCTGACACAGAAGATGAAGGTTTTAGTGATTAATGTTAGTCACATATTTAGAATCTGAAATCACTGAATAATTGGATCAATCTGAAAGTCTGCAAGGCTGATTAAAGGCTAAAATATTACCTTTGGTAAAATAGGTGCGTATCTTTTTCCAGAGATTTACGTTATTGTTAAATATGATGCCTCGCTCATTCATCCCGATGCAGCTGAGTCCCTGCTTGCTCCCAAAACGTGACGTATAATGTCCATTCTTCAGTACATGGTGCACCGCTGATGCCCTTATGTTAAAAAAAATATATATAAATGAAACTACAAATAATCAATTTACAATTGGATTGACCATTTCTTTTTTCATCAGCATTAACAGACATAACCAACCTGCTGAGTATAAGGGTCTCCTCTCCTTTGATCCAAACTCTGACAATGTCTCCATACTTCTTGTTGTAGTAGTTGCTGGCTGTGCCTATACCAGTCCAGAGGAATCTTACATATGACAGAAGTGGCCCCAAACCCAGACAGAAAGAAGGACCTGTCGTGGTAAATGGCAATAAATGTATATCAGCTTATAGCTAATTCAGCGATGAGGTTAAAATAGTAACATAAACTGCACCAGCACAAGGAAAGAAACTGTTAAAGTGTCAAACCAGATATGTCACCTACCTGGTACACTTTTTTTGTCTGTGTGGCTCCAGGCAACCAGCAGCAGACAGAAAAGCAGTATTAGGGTTCTGGTTGCCACAGAGATGCCCGTTGATCCCACTGCAGTGGCATTCAGGGACATGGATACGAGGTTTGCCGCCATGGCATCCAAACCTACAGGAGTCATCGCCCATTCACAAGCAGAAATCAGATCCATGAGAAGGCAGATTTAATACAACCTACACACGAATGCACAAACCCAGCGACTGCACTGAGTGATGAAAGTTGCCTCAACAATCGTGGGCTTTCTCTTTATATGTTGTCTGTGCTGGTTACGAGCCAGGTCAGGGTAATGCAAAAGCCACAACAGAGCAGGAAAATGGTAAACATTACACTCGTAACCTTGACGGGTTGGATTTGTGCCTGTGCCCTTGAGCGTACAGGATTTAGTTCAGTAGTTGCATGTGGTGCATTCCTATGTTGGCAAAAGCTTCTTTCAAACATTGTATTTGACATTTTGGTGATGAGAAGCAAGTTTTGCTCTTCCTTTGAACATCAAAAGAATTATAATTATTATTATTATTACAGCTTTATCTTTCTTACAAAATTAAACATTTACACATCAGTTTTCTCAGATTTTTTTTTCTATAAAAGAAAGAAAAACAAGGTAAAGCTATAGTTAAATAATACATTTAAAAATGTTCACAGTTTTAAAAAATAGTATATACTATACTTATGCTCTCATTACAATCTCTTATTTGGAGGGACTGTTTAGAATTGACAGTATTTATGATTACTCCATCAGACTACCAGTAGGTGGAGAGGCAGAGCAGTGGGCAGCTTTAAACATGAAGTTAGGAAAACAAAATCACATACACTGACTATTATTAGGAGATGACTATGCGTTCTGTAGTTCTAAGCTCTGTAGCAGCTCTTGTGCCTCACTGACTCAGGGCTGTAGCTACCATATTTTGGGGAGGAATCAGAGACCTCAAACGCAGTTGATTTTCTATTTAAAAAAAGTTATACATAATGGGGGTTTTAAAGGCAGATACCATATTTTCTACACCCAAGATCATTAAATGTTAGAGAATTTTCTTTTTTATTCTAGCCTAGGAAAATTAAGAAATACATAAATTAATATAAACTGTACACCGATGCAACAATTTTCCTCACCAGAATTGAAAACAGGGTGAAACGATGAGAACTCTTGTTTTGTGAAACTGTTGTATTAATGAAAAACAATGAAACATCTAAATTAATAGTACTTTAGGAAAATGTTTCAGGTCTCTGCTCAAACCTTTGACCTCAGTATTTTTAACCTCTGTCTTGGCACTGACACCACTATGTACTATTATTGTTTTTTGGTTATTTTTTGTTTCATCAAACTTTAATATTTCTGCAGACGCAACTTCTGTGTCTTTCTTTTATTTTCTTTAATTTTATTATTTAGCAGTTTGTGACAAAGCCAATGCTGTTTGTTCCATTTGCTCGTTCCGTATAAAGGACTCAGTGAATTCACTCACCGCCCACTTTCGAGTCCAAGAATGTGCACTGTTCAATTGGCCGACTGTGTTTTGAGGCCTGGCCTTGATAACGATGCCCTGTACGATGGCTTAGACCTAGATTGTTCTGCATGATTAAGCGGAGACAACTGCCCTGTTTCTTCCAAAAACAGAAGTTAATGTAACCTTGTCTCTGGGCTCTGTGTTGTGGTCAACCACATCTTTGTCTCCACCACATAAGTGGGGAGTTGTTCAGATTTGAACAAACGCGACTAATGAAAAGATGGAGAAAAGTACTTACATGTATGATGTCTAACGCCCTTTTTTACCTTCACTTTTACATTATCACCCTGCTTGTACAGAGGGGAAGTTCCACATGTACATGTATCTGACCACTGTGGTTGAAGAGTATGATTAGATGTTCCTTAGTAAATGTTGTAAAACAGAAACTTGTTAACTTATGATAACAAGTCAGAGGGGTATGACATGCAGCAAAATTTAATGACCATACACTGTGTAACAACAAACCTGAGGAATTGATCCCACAAGTCAGATTTAAAGGAGCACTAAAAAGTTGGCAAAAAGATATGATAACAGCTAGAAGATGAACAACTCTCTCACAAAACATTGGGAGTCATGTGCCAAAGAGAGTGTGGCTTCATTGTTCCATCTCTACACTTAGATAATAGACTTTCCTTACATAACATACTTAACTTGAAAATCTGAGTTTCTCATTTTGTTCAATTAAAATTCAGGCGGTTTTAGACATCAAATAAATGCATTTTTAAAATCTTTTTATTGACTTCTTTATTGATTTTCCATTGTGTGCCATTTTACTGATTTAATGTAATCTATTCTGATATTTTATTCTATGGCTTTGCTGAATTGTGGCATTCAAATAATAGTACATTTTGAACTTGTGAAACTACTTAGATAACAGTGTAAAGAAGAAAAAAAAGACCCCAAGTCTCAAAGAGATTAGGTGGGTGGGAGGATAAAGTTTGTAGGAAAACACGTCATGTCATCTGGCTGTCCTTGGCCTGGAGCAGCAAAGACGGACATGGACCTCTCAGTCCTGTGGTAGGAAGAGAGATAAGGCTGCTTTCCCAGCAGCTGCACACAGGAAGAAGGAAACAGAACCAGAAAAGATCAATAAGAATCAAGAGGTGGAGAAGATTTTTGTGGGCATGTCGACATATTTACACCACATGGTTCATGTTGATGTAATGAATCCTCGCTTTATCTGAATCATTTAGCAGCTTTGCAAACATTACAGTGTTCAAAATCGAATCCATAGAGAAATTTGAATCAGATATCTATGTAAGAAATGGTTGCTTTCCTCTGCCTTTTGAATGAGTGAATGTGAGACAACAAAGGAACCATCTCAGTGCCCTCAAGACTGTGTGCATCTACACATCTGCTGGAGCAATTCAGGCTGTCCAATAACTGTCTGTCAGTGACCTACAGCCCCAGGCAGGAGCCCAAACTACAGTCCGGTCAACAGAACTCAGGACCTGAATCTAACATCAATGTTCCATGTCTACTCTCTCTCTCTCTACCTCTTGTGTGTGTGTAGGGCAGCTACAGGAATAAAACACAACTCCACATCACCAAAGAGGAATTAACTGTATTGCAACTGAAGCAGTTAATGGGCAATTATAGAAAATACACAAGTCAAAAAAAGAGACAGTACTAACTTCCTTTAACAGTGAAGAAGGCTTGAAATGCCTGGAATTTTATTTCTGCTAAACTGTCATTTGTCTAATAAAATGTCCCTTTTCTGGCCCAAATCAAAGCAGTGGAAATGGGTCATTACTGCAGTTGGTGGATGGAAACTATGAGGATGTGACAAGGACCAGCGCCTAGGGGGAGTAGTGAAGGGAGGATACAGGAGTTGGGGAAGAGAGGAGAGAGGGCATAAACCAACTCAGTGGAAACTATAATGATGTTAATGCATTTTGATGTGATGTGATTGGTTCTGTTATAATAATAATAATAGCAGATGGGGAGAATAATAATAAACACGTACGTAACCATCAATGACCAGTCAAATTTGTCTGGTGAATTCATGCTTTCATTTGTTATGTATGTGAGTGCTTTCATGCGTACATCATACAAATGTGCATATCCTTCTGTGTGCGTGTGTGTGTGTTTGTGTGTATGTGTGTCTGTCTGCCCACGGCAGTGCAGTAGAATGGGTTATGCTGAATATAAATCAGGTGACTGAACAGGCGGGGGTTTCTTCCCAGACAAGCCCAGAAGATTGTGTAATGCCCACTCCTACATTACTGGTTTGCGTTTGCATGTACACACTCACACACGTACACACAACCCCATTCTCCACTTGGAGAACAACACAAAAAGCACTGTATTTACCAGTCAGCCTTCAGATAGACCACCCCGGTGGAGCACAGACACTGAAGCTGACTGGACTCCATTTGGAGCTTTCAAATAATTTGGACCTTGAATTTAAGCAAAGGACTTCCTTCCTGTTGGAGTAGTTCAACTTGGTTTGATTTGATTTTCGGTAGGAGCATCTTGGACTACATCTGCACTGTTTGACTTTCATCTTTTCTTTGTCTGTTCACTGCTGTGCTGGAATTGTATCCCCCCTGTGAATGCTGAAGTTGGTGGGTGATCCTCAGAAAACAGGAGGTGAGGTGGTAACCATGTGGATCCCAACCCCCAGCATGACTCTCCCTCAGCGGATGGTGCTGTATGGGACATGTCTTGTGGCGTTGATGAACTCTGTGGGCCTTCTGGTGCTCTTGGTCCAGCAGAATCAGCAACGTGCCTGGCTAGAGCAGACAGGGACAAGGCTGACTGAGGTGGAGCAGAGCTCGGTGGTGGAGTTCCTCCAAGAGGTGCCAAGAGGAGCGGCGGGGATGCGGGCAAGCATAGCGGAACACCCGCAACACCAGTACCAATACTCCAGAAATAAGCGAAGTGAAGAGCTGGAGAAGGAGCTGCAGCAGGAGCTTCACCACGAGGTCAGCCAGGAGGTGGGAGAGGAAACAGAGAAGAAGATGAAGCTGAAGCACAAGCACCGACACAGCCAGAGTTACCACAAGGCACACATGCAGGATGACATGATGATGATGATGACTTACTCCATGGTCCGGTGAGATGAGATACCTGCTGGTGGATTGTAGATGAGATAGAAAGAGTGAGGGAATGCAGGCAAATAGATTTATAAATGTGAAAACATTATTCAGTCATTCCTGACTAATGTTGGAACACCAACTGTTTAAAATGTGCACTGGTCCTGGGGCCTGTGACCATCAGGGGCATCAAGGTTTCAGTTCCAGTTTATGGTAATTTGATTAATTGTAAATTTGCTTAGTGATGCCTAATGCTCCACTAGCACAGTACAAACTGAAATAATAGGGGCCTTCAACCAGCATTATTATGTAATCTCTTGGCACAAGTAAATTTTTTAGATACTTGTATGTACTTGAGTATTTCTATTTTGTGCTATTTTATGCTTCTACTCCACAAAATCAGAGGAAAATATTGAATGTTTTACTTCACATTTGACAGCTATAAGTTACTTTGTAGATCAAGATTCTACACACAAAACATGATCAAAATCAATAAATATTTATAAATATTAATGTTTATAAATTGCCTAATAGCATTTAAGTTTAGTTTGATTAGCTACAGCAATAACATGTTTCTTAAATGTTTAGTATCAGAAATAAAAATCCTATATTATAAAAACACAGCTATAGACATTGCTGCTGCAAGAGTCCTTTTACTTTTGATACTTTAAATATATTTTGCTGATAATACTTACGTAACATTTTAGGTTTTATTTGTAATGGTGTATTTTTATAGTAGTATTATTGCTACTTTTACTTAAGTAAAGGATCTTAATGCTTCTTCCATCACTGCTGAAACGGGAGGGGTCAATGGGGGCATCATAGCTCATTTTTGCTTCAGGGCCCTGTAGTTGGTTAATCTGACCATGTTGCTAAAAATTAAATGCATATATTTTTACTCTGCAGATCAAATTATTGATAGACATTTGCAACAGCACCAAGGGAGTCTGTATAGCCGGTATGTCTCACTCACATACTTCAAACTACCTACTCATGTCCATAATATCAAATTTTATTCACCAACATCTTCAAACCTTCTGTTGCAGGACCCCCAGGACCTCCTGGCAAGTGAACTCTTAATTCTGGATCCAAATTTAAAATCTAGCTGTACTGTGTCTCCTTTGTGACTTAGTGACCCATATATTTGCTGAAATGTGTTTTCCATTCAGCCTGTGGTGAAGATTTCTTTGTGTTACTGCAGGTTTGCCTGGTGTGGACGGTATGCCCGGCCACAATGGGACTGATGGCATCCCAGGACTGAATGGACTGCCCGGGGCTGATGGGAAAAGAGGGAAAAAAGGTAAGGAAATAGTGAGCATATTCTGTTTTTACTCACCATCCGTTTTTATTTAAACCTCGGGCAATGCTGGACATTTTAGTGAAGAACTACGGGTACAATGTACAAGTCACAGGGTTGAGTGTAACCTGGGGGTTAAAACACCAAAAAGCACACAAAGATAAAAACTCAAAACATACCAGCACACCCGGTTTCCTGATATATCCATGTATCATAATGACATCAGATTTTTTTCACAGTGGATTCTACTTGTAACATATAAATGACTGAAGAGCTTGAAACAGCTGTCTTTCTAACCACATTCTCAGCTAATATGGGCTTTGGCTAAATGAACTAGAAATATTCTCCCACTTCGCTCTGTTCTCCTCCACAGTGGATGGCGTGATTCACCCGAGCAAGTCAATGGAATAATTCATAACAATTTTAACAATAGGGCAAAGTGTATTGAGGACATGAATGCAGTCTTAGAGCCATTTTGCATAATGTCCTCCTCAGGGCTGCCAGGTGAGACAGGAGAACCAGGTGAAAAAGGAGAGCGAGGAGAGCCTGGTCCGCCTGGAGAGAACGGACAACCATCCAATGACGTCATTATTGAGGGCAAGTAGAGCTTTAAAACCCATGACTTGGTGTCACTTGAACCGTTTTTCATCCCTAACTTTAAATGAAAATAATGTTGGATGTAAACAATTGCAAACATTTCTTTCAGATCTGGAACATCCTCACAATAATCTACTTTTACACCCAGAGAGTTTAGATGTTGTCCTCTCTTCTTGTGCAGGTCCTCCTGGTCCTCCTGGTCCTCCAGGACCTCCTGGCCTTATGGGTCCTCCTGGACCTCCAGGCCCTCAGGGGCCTCCCAGAATAAGGCACCACCGAGCCAACCTTCAGGCTGCTCAGACCCTGAGTAAGAGCCCTTTTTTGACCTTTATCAAACAGTTGAGATTGAAAGGTCATTCTTAACCTTGGAAACAGTAGCTGTCAAAACAATCTCATCAGCTGATAGCTGGTGCTCTCGATCATATCAAACAATCTTCATTCAGCAGATGGGGAGAAGATCCGCTGAGGATGATCGTGTGACATGATCGAAAGCGCCAGAACAGCTACTACCTGGACCTTGTGGTGAGATTGTTTAGTCAAGTAGGGCTACACACCTGATCAGGGTGAATAATGTAAGATGAACTTGTTTCTAACAGGGCCCTTACACGCAATTTCAAATGATGAAAAGTCGTCTGTAAAGAAGGCTGTGAAACTACATGACAGGCCAGCTAAGAAGAACGGTGGGTTTTCAGAGAAGTTAGTCTACATGCTCAGTACATGCTATGTGGTAGAGAGCATCTAAGCTTGTTGTTATTTTGTTTCCCCTCAGAGTGCCTGATTAAGTCTCTGATCAACCCCAGGAATGTGACAAAGATGGAGAGCACATTTGGCACATGGATGAAAGACACCGCTCAGCTAAATGATGAGCGAATATGGGTGGCAGAACACTTTTCTGGTAGGTTGGTTACAGAGGACCATCTGCATGGATACTGATAGAAGTGATATTAAACTTTGTCTTTCAAATCCAGGTCAAGGCTCTGTGTGTCAAATCTCCTACAGGCATGTTAGACTATAGGATCTAAAAGCTGCACAGTTTTATTAAAGCAGTTTGCAGTGAACATTTTGCTCGTCATGCCCCCAGGTCGTGTGGTGAAGGAGTATAAAAGCATTGCCTCCTTCCAGAACAGCAGCAGTGACATTGTGGATGTTAGAAAGTTTTACCAAGGCTGCGGACACACGGTCCACAATGGTTCGTTCTATTATCATATTGCTGGTACTTCCAGCATTGCCAGGTAGGACCAACAGACAGTGCAATGCTTTGCTATCGTTTCCATTTATTCCAATGCCTCCGGTTAACAACTCACTGCTTGTTTGTTTACAGATTTGACTTTGATACCAAGAAGCTTCACACTCTCACTATAGACAATGCTTTGTACCACAACCTCGCCTACCTGCTCCACAACTCCAAGACATACTTCAAACTGGCAACAGATGAGAACGGCTTGTGGCTGATTTTTGCCTCCAGTGTAGATGAGAGCATCATGGTGGCCCAGCTGGACCAGAAGACCTTCTCTGTCACATCCTACATCAACACCACTTACCCCCGCACCAAGGCGGGCAATGCCTTCATCGCCTGTGGGGTCTTGTATGTCACCGACACAAAGGACACCAGAGTCACCTTTGCTTTCGACCTGCTGAAGGGAAAGCCAGTCAATGTGACTTTTGACTTGAGGTCTCCAGGTGGAGTGCTGGCAATGCTCTCCTACAGCCCCAAGGACAGACACCTGTATGTGTGGGACCACAGCTACGTCAGGCTCTACGTGGTCCACTTCATCTCTGATGAGTGAGAAACATCCTGTCAGAACATGACAGACAACATGCAGACATAACTGCTACATAGTGAGCAAAATGCCTGCTGACCAACTATTCACTCCATCTTTGGATATTATAGTAATAATTTTAAGGGTTTCAAGAGAGATGTACACCTCAGTCTCAACTTTATCAACCGGTAGAGCATTGCTGTCACGTGCTAAAAACAAGTTTCACTAGAGGGAAATCAGTTTTTGGTCCATAATTATTGTGATACTGTCAAAAATAAATACTGCTATATTTATATCCTATCCGCAATGTACACAAGAGATTTTGGAGTTACTAATGGTGTGAAAACATATCATTTCGTATCAAACAGTTCACAATTTATACAAATTGAACTTATAACTCTTTGTTGTAAGTTGTTAATTATTTAGCGTATTTGCATGACTATGATCTTTTATGTATTTTTTTATATAGATATGTTATCCCACTGACATTCTGTATAGATAGTCCACCTGCATTTGTAATGAAGCATGGTCCCTGGTTACTTATTCCTCTCGACAGAAAAGAAAGAAAAACAGTGCCATATCACCCTGATGAAATAAAAAGAATTTATTCACTTTACAAAGGTAAAACTCTGACAATGACCTGTTCTCTCACACACCTCCAGGCTCAAGTGCCCTAATAAGCGTCTACCCATGATATTGGCTTCTTTTGCATTATTACATGCACACACACATACACACCAGACACCAGTAGGACCATCGGTAAAACACATACAGTACACATAGTGGGCAGAAAGAGGGAGAGAAACACAAATCTCTTTAATAAATACCATACATACACTTAACAAAAGTTACAACTAATCCAGCTGGTATGATACAAACCAAAAATAAAGAAACGCTTTCATGTTTGTACAAGCTGTTGTGGTATTTCATATATATATATATTTATATAATTTATATATTAAAACTATTTTAAACTTTTTACTACTAGGCCAAATAAAGCCAGACATTCATTTGTATTTAACAGTTTCTTCTTCAATAACGTATTTATTTGAAATAAACTTTTAGTGTCTCCAGAATTTGAGTGCAAATATCTATTCCTTATGGATAAAACAGTAAAAACAACTAGCGAGGTAACACACACTTACATACAGTAGACTGTGTTGCACATCTCCCAGGAGATACAGTAAAACCCCTTACATTCCTAAAATAAAAAGGCAATACATTAAATAGATTTACAAAGGAATGGTCAACCAAACAAACACACAAACATATAAATAAGTCAAATAATAAAAGTATAGTTAATAAAAAAACAAAAACAAATTCAAGAATATCTTGTGCAAAACCAGAAGTGAACCTTTGTGTTTCTGCTCTGGGTGGGTGGGCGTTCAGCTTTGGACCAGACAGATGGAAACACTGAAATCACAGTCACAGGAGTAAAACAAATCATCTTTCAAACAGAAATGTTCTAGCAGTGAGTCCGCCACACAAACAGGCATTTGAGGGCAGGTGGGCAGGCAGGCATACAGATGGCAGACACAGCAGTGTGACCACACACTTGGGGACCAAACCAGGCTGGGTCTAGCCCAAACCTGGAGAGGCCAGAGTGAGTGATGGGCAGCCAGTGAAACAGAGGGTGAGGGCAGGGGTTGTCACTATAGGAGCATCAACTCTTCCATAAGGGCTGAGAAAGGGTCGGGGGGGGGGGGGCAAAACCATTTAAACAAAATGCAGATTCCAACAACTCAATTCACACTGGAAACCACTGACTTAATAACAAACCACAGTGCTGGATACAGTAGATGCTAAGAGATTTCAGCTGTGGGCACAAAATGACGACAGTTACACACTTTTAAAATTTTTGCTTGAGCACTTTTACAGAGCACTATCAATAGACCTGTGATTGCACTGCGTAACGAGAACAGGACATGCATAGCTTCCCTATGGACACACTCTAAGAGTAGAGATTCTTCAATAAAATTACAATAAATCTAGCTTTAAAATCAAGTATGATACCTTTTGCTTGTAACTTTGCTTTCAACCTTTGAAGAAATAAAATATTTGCAGCTCCGTTTTTCATTCTGTATATGATTTACATCACCAGTAAACCCATGAACACTGCACACTCTGAAAGATGCCAAAAGCATGGTGATCTTTTGACCAACTCTTCCCCATCAATTATACTATTAATGCCTAGTGAGTATTACGTAAGCTTTTTGTGTTTTATCTTTCTGTCTCTTTCCTCTTTGGACACTCAAAACTGGAATTCGGCGTTACAGGATATCGACCAAGCTGCTGGGGATATTGTAGCGGTCAGGGAGGACCCTCATCTTCAGGGTGCCGTCTGCTCCACAGGTGAAGATGCGGTTACCGGGACGCGTCTCTACCTGCATGACGCCTGCACCGATGTTGCGGAAGATGGACTGCTTGGCATGCTCGGTGCTAAAAGAGTGCATGAGCCCGTGGCCGGCTAACTTCCACACCTGGAGACAGAGAAAGTAGAGGGAGAGAGGATGGAACGGGTGTTAAGTTTCTTTTCTTCTTTTCACACCAGTCTACTGTTCTTTGTTATTTACATTATGCGGAGCCTGCAAAAGCCACTGTCAAGTGCCAAATTCACTGTGAGTGCTGTGACACTGTGGTGTGAAAATAATTTTTGTCCAAAACAAGTTCATCCAATTAATAACACTTGATAATCAAGCTGACTAAAGTCTCACCATAACCAGCATGGTATCATGAGCAGAACTTGGCGCTATTAAGAGGCTACGAAAGGCTAAGCCTCCTGAAAGTGGTCATGTTTTTTGGTGGAAATTGTGTCTTAGACATTGCTCTGTGAATAGATATCTCAGAACCTGTTGTTTCTGGCACGTCACGCCGCTGCCACTTGGTCATTTTATCAATTAATATACTTTGGAGCAAATAAGCCCAAACTTACCACAGAAACACAAATCCTGAACTGCCTTAATAACTCATCACTCTGAAACTCTTGTTCCAGTCCTAGGTTGCGAAGCTGTTTCAGGAACATGTCCAGCTGAACCGAAGCCGTGGTTACAGACCCACCCTACTCTGCTTCTGATTGGCTAGTAGTTCTTAACTAGGTACTGCGCATGTGCAACTGCCAACATGATCAAATAGAAGTGAGATGATTCACTCGGTAGCTAAAACGGAGCGTTCAAGCCACAGGGTAAAAAGAGGTGCTGCAGCAATGTGCAGTATGAAAGAATATGTTTGTAAACCTGTTCTGGTACAACCACTTGACGGTGGGGTGAAAAGTTCAACTAACAAATGAATGTGCAAATTGATTCAACTGAAGAACCAGATGAATCTGAATGAAAAACAAAAAGGAAATTTGTATCTTGGGTAGCGAAATAATACGTTATCTTTGAGCTGGACGGAAAATTATACTGCAAAGCATGTACAACATACACCTCGATAGCACATCAAGTTCACTAGTTCAAGGCAGCACATCCAACAAAACAATGGGACTAGACAAGCACTGGAGCTTAAAGCAACATGAGCAGGCAGCACAACAACATAATGACGTGGAGGCTGCAAGAGCAGGTACCCCCACTGACTGGCAGATGAACACCTCTAACTTCAACTCTTTAAACATTCTTTTATGTAACCTTTTCATTATTAAACTGTAGAGTTACTTAATCACTCAAAATATAAAGGTGCCTAAAATGCCAAGCTGATGCCTGGTTGCCAGCCTGGCAACCACTTTTCACAGTTAGTGGTGAGCCCTGTGTAGCCATTGATTTGAGAAGTGCCTTGCCTCTCCAAACATCGGATGGGTCAGCTACAATAGGGTGCTGTTATAGGGGATGTCGGATTACCGGAGCTTATTAATACTGGGCGGGATGACTGCCTTTGCAGTTTTTTCAACATTTCATTCATCAAGCGATTTTCTGATTTTATCAAGTAGGTCTGTACTCTAAATAAGACATTAATCCTCACTTCACAATAAAAGTATTACTGTAGAAAATTATGTTTTGTCAGTAAGTGAGTGATGGAGCACGTGTCACCTTCATGTTGCCCTCTGCAGAGCCAGTAACAAAGAAGTCCTCAAAGGCATCCAGTGCAAGGGCCTTGATAGCTGAGTCATGGGCCTGGAAAGTGTGGAGCAGCTGCCTCTGGCGGATGTCAAACACGCACACAAAGCCCTTTCTGCCTCCAGTGATCAGCAGCTGCTGTTTAGGAGCATACTGCAGCACAGTGGCCCCGTTCTCATGGCAGGGGAACGCTGAAGGGGTGGGTGGGAAGAAATGTGAAATTGGATCACAAAACAACTGTATGCAAGGAAAAATCATTAAAATACGCTTGTTTGCATTCGGGATTTATTACCGTGGACCATGGTATTGCTAGGTGAAATCAGAGTATCCCACAGGCAAACATTTCTGTGGATAAAGTAAACCAAGGATAATATAAGACAGTCAATACCAACGGAGAAAGATTAGTGTTGGTTTAATAGTGTTGTTTCTCAGTGCAGATGCAGACCTGTTATCATTGGACTGCCCAGCCGTGGCGATGAGGCTGGAGGACGTGATGAAGGCAAAATCACCGCAGGTCTTAGTGTGGCACTGCCAACTCTGTCGGCAAGAAAAGGACAAGTAAAACAAATATATTCACTTTAATGATTCATATTTAGGGTTTTGCTGGTCTAAAGATGTATATGAGTGTGCTGGGGTGGTGATTAAGGAGGTGGGAGGTGACCTCACCAGGTAGGGTTTGGGGTTGGACGAAGTCTGGTTGACCTGCCAGAGACTGAGGAAGCCCTCTCCGTCAGCAACTCCACACTTCAAGAAGAAGACAGAGCAATCAGAACAATCACACCAAACAGATAAAACACAGATGTTGCAATATGTTTGTGTGTGTGTGTGTGTGTGTGTGTACCTTATTGCCCTGGGAGTTGAAATAGAGCCGGGTGACTCTAGCATTGCCTGCTTGTCTGAAGCAAATGAGCTGCTGAGGTCTGTTCCATTCAAACATTCTCACACTACCGTCCTGAGCCCCTGTCATGTCTGAAGCGTGAACACACACACAAACATACAGAGAGAAAAGGCGAAGGGAGAGAGATGGAGGCAGACAGAGGGGGAGAGAAATTTACCGAAAGATGATCACAAATAAACTGTATACTGGTGATGGCCTCATATGCAAAGGCTTCAGTGTGGGCACTTACAATACTGATAGATGGGATGGGATGTCATTCGCTTCACATTATTTAGATTCCTTTTCATAATCTGAAAAACATCAATAAAAACATCGGTTTATCTCACAACGCATAATGTTAAGAAGATGAATTATAGATTTTAGGTAAAAAAACCTTCACCTGTGTTCTGTAGGAATTTGTTTAAAGATAAATGCTTATCGATGATGCTGTTAAACTGACAAACAAATAAGTCAGAGGTTTCTCTTGTTTTAATAAAAAAAAGATCACTTGCTCACTAGTACAAAAAAACAAAAAGAAAACACGATATGAACATTTGAATATTAATAAGCCGAATTACACCAACTAAAATTAAACTGATTTCATCTGCTTTCAGAGCTTTCACCTTAACTGAAAGTCTGTGCTTTATATATTATAGCCTCAAAGACCACTCATAAATCCTCTTGAGTGTCCACTGTTGCTG